AGTGTCCCTCCACTGGGCTTCCTCATGGGGAGAGCGCCCCGCCGCCGCCGTCCTTGCGGCCGTCCAGCTTTGTCGACGAGCCTCTCAGGCCCGGCGAGGTTGTTTTTGCCGTCCGTGTCACCCCTGGGACGGGAGGAGAGAGCCTGCAAGGCTTGAGTCCAATTCCTCTACTCATTCAGGGCAAAGTCGAGTCCATCATTGTAATAGTAGCTTATTTATTTTGTCACAATCTGGAGATCGGCTTATAGTAATGTAGAGCAAACAATTTCGATTTTCAACCAAGTTCATATCGAAAAATTAGTGTACACACTGCAATTTTGGGGCATGTTCCACGTCATAAAATGGTGGCTTTGCTAGAGGGCACCCAAGTTCATGATTATTAGCAACAAATACTATCACATAAAACATGAGAGAGTCCAGTTTGCTCTGTCAGCACGGCGTTCCTTTAGGATATTTGCCCAGCCTAACGGCTTCAATAATTAACTAGATTTATGTTCCCATGTATCAGGATTTCAGTTTGAATTAGGCTGTTTCCTCCAAGAGAACACATCACCATGTACGGTTTAGCTAATGGTACCTTGTTGCAAAGTTTGTCTAGGTTCACAACAGAGAACCCTCCTCTGTAGATCAGTACTATACTTGGACGAAGGGCTTGTTATATGCATGGTTTAACTGCAATATATTCGGCCGGCCACTTCAAAAGTCAGAATTGTAGAGACTGAAAACACAATAAAGTAAAAAATTCGAATATTAAGTATAAAAACTCAAACAATATTTTCTAAAGAAAATACATGTGTATCGCGGTAAAAACCTTGTACGGATGCTCCGACTGGGCTTATGGTCTGACCGCAGTTCAATCGTCGGGGTATGTATTACCATCAGCCTGAAAGCTTCCACCAATAACCTGATTGTAAAACACTGGCAACTTTTGATCCGTGACTCAAATTGATATGCGTGCTGCAATTACCATATGTGGACCGGATGTCCTGAATTTCATTGATCAGATGTACATAATGAAAAGGGAAAACTATTTGTGTGGGATAGAAATATCAGGTCGATGTGAAGTATCAAAGCACCATCTGACATGTCAAATTAAGAAGGGAAATGACATGGCTTTATTTTGTCAGCAGGCAACACCACCCGTTCAATAAGTAGCAGCCCATTTCAGTCAGCAAGTCTTGGCATGTAGTTTTATGGAAGAAAGCACACCTAGCAAAACACACTCTGAAGATTGTAACAAGGCACCTACTTTAGCCACAGCCTAGTTCATCGATCAGCTGCAAGATGCAGATCGAGGGAGGACAAAATAGTATCAGTAGTCACAAGAACAACAGAAAGGTCGATCGTGCTGTCAAGTCGATCGATACGAGTGAAAATGCTTGATGGTTGCAAAATTATTGCGATCGAAGTTCCCAGTAGGAATGGAAGGTATCGGTGATGATCCTAGTCGAAGAAACATACCTACCGGTACCAGGTGCGAACCCAGTAAAACCAAACAGGGGACACTCGACACCTGGCATTTTTGTTTGCCTCGAGTTATAGCCTGTGTATGTATACAACGTAGGACGCCCCAAGGACATTGTACTGGACCCCTGGTCCTGACGCCAAGCCCAATCCAATGCTGAACAAGAAGACGTGACAAGGGCCAGAGAAGCAGTCCGTTCAACATTACACACTTGGCCACGGCCTTGTTTAGTTCATCTCCAACTATCCTAAACTTTTAACTTTCCACACATCACATCACATTACATTCAAAACTTTCCTACACACATAAACTTCCAACATTTTTTGCAAACTTCCAACTTTCTCCAAACTTCCAACTTTTTTCAGAAACTAAACACAGCCTATGTCTAAAAAGTCTAAACTCTGCTCTTCTGCAGCAAGGTATTTTTCCCTTCCCAAGTCCTTTATCAATCTGTCTGTTTTCCTGGTAGTTCAGTGAGCGTGTTGCGCTGTGTAAAATTATATATTGCATTCCGCTAAGTACTATTGAAAGATGCTTTTCGGCCATGAAAATTGTGAAGACATATTTACGCAATTGCACTGGTGATAAACTTGAGGGATCTTGCTATTTGCTATATTTGAGAAACAGAAATTGGTGAAAGTTACCAACAATGCAGTAATTTGTCAGTTAGAGACCTTAAAGACCATTTTTGAAATGTATATTTTCATAATATTATTGTAGATACATATTTACGTGGCCTTTTTTTACTAAGTGATTTGCTCTCTTTTCTAAGAAAATCAGTTGAGGCCAGATATGGTTTTGGAGGTTTTGGTCTTTCTTGCTTAAATTTTTTTATAGTCGATTGATATTTTGATAAACATTTCATTGGTATATCGTAATAATTATTATTACATGGCATATTAGATATTAATGTTGCTTGGTGCATAGAACTGTGATACTCATAGGATCCCATATCATTTTCGGGCTTGTTCACTTTGCTAATATTTTCAACCTTATCTTTTTTTTTTAAAGTTATCAAAAATAAATTGCTACATTTAGTTTGTTACCAAATTTTAGTAAGTACATATGAAATCTTGCCAAAATTTGGTAACCTGGCTAAAATTTTAGCAACTTTACTAAAAAATTACAATGCCAAAATTTAATAAGATTAAAAATAGTAGCAAAGTGAACAAGCCCTTCGTTCTGGATTCGTCACTGATTGGTACTGCTAGCTCTAGAATAGCCAAAGCTGCAACGTAAGGGTGCACTGTCAACGTAAGGGGTTCTAGCACATTCTTTTGCAGCCTCAAAGCATCTCTTGCACGGGACCATTGGTCCATGATATAAACCTTCCCTAAACGTAGTTAGTTCTACGTTGCAACAACTGAATCTTAAGCTAGGACAAATTAAATTATGCCAATGATAGGCTTAACAATTCGATTGAAGTCCATCCTTAGAACAGAGTACAATTTGACACCATTAATCAAATAAATCCATTTTTAAATTTATAATAATTAATAGAGAAAGACTACACAACGGTATACCGTTGAACGGTATACCACTTATCCCCCATGCCGCGGCCCCGCGTGCCGGCTTCTCTCGAATATGTCGCGTGCTACGAGGATTATCATCACGCATGTTTACTGTGTGTATCAGTGTATGGTCTTGTTCCTGACAGCTAGCTAGTACCCAGCATGCCTAAGTCATGCCTTTGATACTAGCCTAGCTAGTAAATAAAACCGGAGATACTACTAGCTTGTTGTGCATGCCAAATCCCTGTAATAGCTACTAGTAGTCCCGTACCCTAGCTATGTAGGGTACTTATTATGGCAGAGCCTAGTAGCTTAGCTATGTGTCTAAGATGGGTTGCATCTATTTGCATGTGTCCTATACCATGCACGGATTAGACCAGACAAATAATACCTAGATTATATATGGATACAATGGATTCTAATTAGATATGTCATGTTGGGCTCTTGGTTATACCACATCTTAGAAACTCTAGTGTGTTATGCATAGATGCTAGATTATCATATCTGATATCTAGGTACTGGGTCAAATACCTAGGTACCAAGTATGAAACCTATAAATACAAGATCTGATGCCGAGTTATCGGGTCTAATAACTATAAGTACCGGATCCGATAACTAGGTATCGCGTCTGATACCTATGAGTACCAGATCGGATACTCGGGTATCGGGTATCTGATCTGATACCTATGAGTATTTGTTCCAATACCTATGCATAACGGGTCAGATACACAGGTACCGAGTATGATACTTATGAATACCAAGTCTGATACCTAAGTATCGGGTCTGATACCTATGAGTACCGATACCTAGGTCAGGTTTGATACTTATGAGTACCGGATCCGGTATCACGTATGATACCTATAAGTATCGGATCGGATACCCGGGTATCGAGTATCTGATCTGATACCTGAGTATCAGTTCCGATACCTGTACGTACTGGATCGGATACCCAAGTACCGAGTATGATACCTATGAATACCAAGTCTAATACCTAGGTATTGGGTCTGATACCTATAAGTACCGGATTCGATACCTAGGTCGGGTTTGATACCTATGAGTACCGGATCCAATACCTAGATACCGGGTTGATACATATTAGTAGCGGATCTGATACCAAATATAGGGTGTGATGGTACGAGACTTCAGATGTGATACCACTAATTCTGATATTTATGGGTATATACTTCTATTCAATAATCAAATAAAAAGATGGACTATGCATAGCTAGGCCAGAAAGTACAGCCAAACTTGCTCACGTGACGCTGGCATGCTGTGTTTAGGCTCATGCTACTAGCTCTAGTGCTTAATTCTAACTTTGCTAGTTGAAGCAGATATCAGACCCATATGGACCTAAAGAGGTGTAAGTAGTGCTGTATTAGAGTATTTCATAGCTATTTTATACTATAGGAGAAAAAAGACCTCTCGTCAGTCGTCACTATTCGGCAGCCTCCATGTGAAAGGACAGCACACGACACGCTTTCATAGAGAAAAAGAATCGGTAAGTGATTGATAAGTATAAATTATAAACTATACTGTTGAGACCGTACACTATCCCATAGTTTTTCTCTAATTAATACTCCATTAATCATACACTAATGACTTCCCTCAAAATATGTGCCGTCGAAATAGTTTAATCATTCAAATGCTACCTTCCGCTTGGACACCAAGATTTGACATTTTATTTAGAAAATAAGTTATCAAACATCACAGAAAAATAATGGACAACACCAAAAGCAGCGTTGTCAGCATGGCAATCTTTTAGGATTTTGGAGGAGTTATTAAGTTGAGTAGGTTCACAAGATAAGGGGCTTGATATTTCTGAAAAACACGCAGAAATCGTGTGTTTCTTCTTGCGCTAGCCAGCTGAAACCCTCTTCTTGCTTGCTCTATTTTGCATACTTCGCAAAGAAAAGGAGTAACACAAAAGAGCTGCCTCACCCTGCTCGCTGCTATTGCCCGGGCAGGTGCTTTTCTGCATCAACTTTTAAGAACTAGTAGTAAGTAGTAACCATGAAACAAAATTATAACCAATCTTAGAGATGATACAGTAACCATATTAACAGCAAACATAACTGCTCTTTCATGTGACTTTCACGCACAAGCACAAACGCATGAAAGTTGGACCATGGTGATACCTCCAGTTCTGTCCTCTTCCAAGAGACAAGGTAAAGGAAAAAAAAAGGATACAGAATGATTTACTACATAATCTAAATTAGAACGGTATCGTCATCTGCTAAAATGACATAAAAGAACATGAAGCACATTATTTGGATACAGAAGTGCATGTGGACCTTCATGTAATCTTACTACTGCTCAAACTAACAAAAATTACTCCCAGATCTTTGCGCAAGAGGAGCGAACAAAACATTCCATTTCCCCGGCTCTGCCTACTTTTGCTGATCACCCTTTGCTTCACAACTAGAATAATCCTTCCCCTGCCACCAAAATTACGATGATCTTTAATGACAAACACATCTTATGTCCATACATTTATATACATCAATTCATAGATATATTCACTAATCTGATAATAAAGGTGGCACAGAAAAACAAATCTACAAGATTGAAATGCAGACTTGCGAAAATATAACGATCGAACTTACTTAACTCCTCCAATGATTTGCCAACATTGCTATCACCAGATTGCATCAACTGAATCTTCCCTGCACAGATTAAAAAAACAAACACGAAAGCTTATACACAGATAAAGAAGGAGCAGAACATTATAACATCTATAGAGAGTGACAATGACAAGAACTAGGAAATTATATGACCACAGTTCAAGGCGAGACAAACATGTATACTGAATTTGGGTAGGCCACTCCTATCCTAAAAATATTTTCCATTGCTTCAGCCACGTCTCATGGCTTATGAGCCAAAACAACTATTCAGTGTTGCTACAGGAAAATGATTTGAACAAACGAGAGTATTCATTTAAAATTTCAGATTAGCATACATACCATCACGCCGCACACAGATCTCTGGTATATTTTTCACTTGATCATTAATTCTGTCATTGTAGACTCTGGTCTCAATATCACCCTCAACGTAGACTGCAGAACTGAAACAAAACATGATGACCATGTACTCTTAGTAACACTAACAATCTGAACTAAAGTTTGGATGCTATATCATAAAGGAAAATTAAATCTTATGCTTCAAGCCCTACTTCTTGACTAACTTCTGAACGGCAAATGCACCAAGCTGCTCATTGTGAACAGATATTCGATGCCACTGAGCTGGCATTGGCAAGTTTTCAGCACCTACTGTCCTCTGGTCAAACATGCCACCTGTTCCAACAGTAAAGACAGTTACTGTATGCCCGTTTCTTAGTATTTTCTGTACTGGCACTTGTCCAACTTTTCCACAAATAATTGCCTATCAAGTATCAGATAAATGAACAAGGGTCACAATTCTTTTCTTAAGAAACAAAGTGCATTTTCACAAAGAGTGCGCGTTTCATCAAAATACCCTGTGCACACCACGGAAAACGTGATCTGGCCTGGAATGTGTGAAATCATCTTCGGCATCACCACCCTTGCGATTCTTCTCATCGACATCAGAAAAAGACGCAGTCGAGTTCCATGCTTGCGATTTTCTGTAAAACTCTAAAAGCAACAGACACCAAACTCTCAGTTATACTTATATACACAAGATGAGCACCTTACACCAAACATTAGAAAGGCTAAAACTAAGTGCCCACCAACTGAGTTTCTTTGCTGTCCTAGGAGCCTCCTCACGCTCATGCTCCGGAGCAATTTCGCACTCATCATTGTAAACCTAAATACACAATACAGGTCACACAGCTGTGAAATCTTGTTGAAGACTTGAGAAATGTAAGTATGAATGGCTGAACGAACAGGGAACTTCACACTGCCCCGTATACTTCGCCCTCTATGAAAGTCCCTACCAACTCCATAGATATCAAGAAAATCGAGAAGAAACCGGATGGGTTAACCGGAGGGAACGAAATCGATCCCCAAGTCCGGATGGATTTCCAATCTACGGGACGCCGGCGCTGCGGAGGAGGAAGGGATGCGAGGGAAGAATGGGGGGATACCTTCGATTCGAACCGCAATGAGGACGCTGAAAGGGGATCGGCGTCGGCCGCGTCGGCCTCCGAACCGTCTCGCCGCCGCCGGCCCGTGCGCGCGAGCAGGAAAGGAAGCACAGCCGCAGCGGAGGAGGAGGAGGAGGTTGCCGGGCTTGTCGCCGGCGGCGCGTGCCAGGAAACGCCTCCGGCTCGGTGGAGTCGAGCAGAAGCCGCCGGGCGGAGGAGAGACACCGAAGATGGAGAGAGACTGCAGAGGGGAGAGAAGATATTTCGGATATTTGGTCATTCGTATTTTTTTTAGGGTAAACGGCGGGAGCTCTGCCAATTTCATTAAGGAGAGGAGAAAAAGCAACAAATGTTTTTTACAAACCTATACAGCAAGGATCCCAAGCATTCTTCTATCAAGGCAAACCGGGGAGATAAGGGACTAAAATTTTAAGAAAATGAGAAGCAACTAGAATGAGAGTACGGGTACTACTCATCTGGAACATGCGCTCCAACGTAGGTTTTGCACATAGCGATAATTGAATCAACCATTTGCATCACTGTACTATAAGTGCCATTGAAGATTCTTGCGTTGCGCTGTAGCCAAATGCCCCAAGCTGTGTAGATGAAGAGGCCATCAAAATTTCTTCTTTGTTCTTTGGCCATCTCTCTTCTGCAGGCTGACCACCATCGTAGCATATCTCCATCGAAGGTGGAAGCCACCGGCATGTGGAGCCCCGCCTTTTGCCAGATGTGTCTCCATACCTATTTAGCAAAGGCGCATTCCATGAGGAGGTGCGTTGCTGTCTCCGGTTATACTCCACACAGAGGACAAATGTGGCTGTTGTCCCATCCACGAAGCTGGAGTTTGTCGGCTGTGACGATCTTTCTATGGATCATGAGCCAACCAAAGAATTTGCATTTGTTTTCTACCTTCGCCTTCCAGAAGAAATCAGACCTATTGTCTTGTATGCCTCCAACGAATTGGATCCTGTAGGCGGAGTTTGCTGAGTATGATCCATTTGGAGTCCATCTCCAAACTATCGCATCGTCTATGCCTTCATGCAACTCCACCTGTTGGATTTGGTGCCATAGAAGGATGAATTCCCTAACCTGTGTTGTGGTATTCATTCGTCTCATCTATTTCAACCAGTGGTTCCCTTGTATCTCCTGTGCCATTGATCTGTTCTTTCTCGTGGCCAACTGATAGAGGGAAGGGTAAAGTTCTTTCAGGGGTGATCCGTTCAACCATCTGTCATGCCAGAATTTTGATTTGTTGCCATTTCCAAGGGTTATTGTGGTCGAAGCTCTGAACAGCTGCTTATCTGTTTCATCACAAGGAAGACTTGATCCCTGCCAAGGTTTGTCGACGGCGGTCCATTCCTGCCAAAGCCAGCGGAGTCTTAAAGAGCGACCAAAAAGTTCGAGGTTTGTTATACCAAGGCCTCCCATGTTTTTTGGTCTACAGACCCTCTTCCAGTTAACTAGGCAGTGTCCCCCCTGTGCCTGTTCTGACCCTGTCCAGAGGAAGCCCCTACGAATTTTGTCGATCTATTTTTCAGCCCATTTTTAAGGGGGAAAACAGTGAGGTGATAGGTCGGGAGGGCGGAGAGGGTAGACTTTATCAGAACCGCCCGACCAGTCTTGTTTAGTAACTTTCCTTTCCATGTTTGGAGCCTAGCTGAGAACCTATCGATGAGAGGTTGAACATCTGATTTTCTGAGTTTCCTGATGTGGAGTGGAAGACCTAGATAGGTAAAGTGAAGTGTTTCATCTGTGCCGGGAAGGGGGAGAGAATATCCTGTAAGTCGAGGGTGTCACATCTAATGGCATAGACTTCGCATTTGGATAAATTGGTCACCATGCCTGTCGCGAGGCCGAAATTTTGAAGAATCATTTGGATCGTTTGGAGTTCCCGTTTATCTGGTCTAAGGAACACTACAGCGTCATCTGCATATAAGGCCATATTGAAACGAGCAGTCCACTTGTGGAGCGGTTGGAGGAGGCCTGCTTCCTGTACTATGGCAAGGAGTTTTTGCAGAGGATCAATCGCAAGAATGAAGATCATGGGTAATAAAGGGTCTCCCTGACGTAATCCTCGTCCATGCAAGAAGTTGTTTCCTGCCTTCCCATTTAGGAGGATCTTTGATGAGGACGTTGCTAGAATGGAAATAATCCATCCAATCCATCTGTCTCCGAATCCCAAATATCTGAGTCTGTCTAGAAGATAAGGCCAGCTGATCGTGTCAAAAGCTTTTGCAATGTCGAGTTTTAGCAGGATCGCGGGGATTTTGGAGGATTGGAACTCACGCACCATGTTGTTTACGAATAGGAAGTTGTCTTGGATGTTTCTGCCTTTTATGAAGGCACTTTGATTCGTTGAGACCATCTGTTGCAATTTTGGGGCCAATCTGTTTGCTAGTAACTTGGAGAAGAGCTTTCTGAAGGCATGTATGAGGCTGATTGGCCTGTAATCACCTACCCTTAAAGCGTCAGTCTTTTTTGGTAGAAGGGCAATGTAGGCTGAGTTTAAAAGCCATAGACTATGAGTGTCGTGATTAGCAACCTGATTTGCTGCCATGACGATATCTTCCTTAATTATGTCCTAACACTTTTTGAAGAAAGCACCTGTGAAGCCGTCGGGACTGGGGGCATTGTCTGATCGTGCTTGGAAGATTGCCTCTTTTATTTCGTCTTCCGAAAAAGGTTCCTCTAGATTTGTGAGGTCTTGCACCTGTTCCTGGAGACAATTGAAGTTTATTGCTCCGGAGCGAGATCTGTCTTCACCTAAGTGGTTTTTGTAAAAAGAGAGAAGTTCATTTTCTTTTTCCTCATGAGAGTGCGCCAGGACATTTTCAGTCAGGAGGTGTTGAATGAAGTTTTTCCTTTTTCTCGCGCTGGCCTTGATTTGGAAAAATCTGGTGTTTGCATCCCCTGCTCTAATCCAGGTTTGTCTGGATCGCTGGCGGATTCTCACCCTGTCGAGGGCTGCCAGGCCTAGTAATTTCTGTTTAAGGAACCGTCTGAAAACGGTCTCTTGAGTTGTCAATGCGCGCTCCTCCTGTGCTAAATCAAGCCTGAAGATCAATTACGTTGCAATGTCCATTCTAAATTTGATCCCACGCACACTGTTCCTGTTCCATTTTCTTAAAGCCTTTGTTGTCCTGGCAAGTTTGATATGGAGACGCTTGATTGCATCAGGTCATTCGGTATTTTGCTGAGACTTCTTTTATTTCAGATTTAAATTTCGCGCAGTGCCAAAGCAGAAAAAAAATTATTTCCTGGTAATTATTTTACTTGGGATTGAATAAGTAGTACTGATTACTCCCTTCGTTTTATATTATGTTCCATGTTATAAGTTAGTTTCGATTTGTCTCGAGCATCCCCCAACAGATGCTCTATTCAACCCTTCATCTGAGAAATATATAGTGAATGGGAGTGAAAAACCGGCCTCTAGCGGATACGCCATCGGCTTCACCAAAAATAGCAGATCATTAAAACAGGAAAGAGGAATGCCAATTCGCAACCGCCGCTTTGGGTTGAGCTCCTGCCCCTATCTGGAGTTCACAGCGGCGGCAGGCAAAGCGAGCGGAGGAGGAGAGGCAAGGAGGATGAGGCGCGGCTCCGACTAGATTGGCTAGCAAAGGAATAAGGGAGGTAGCCAGGTGGCACCAACCGGATCTAGGCTGGGAGGTTATTAGAGAAGAACCGCCACCGTGGCTCCTCCGCCCGGCGACCGTCATTGCTGTTTATGAGTGCTGGAGTTAATTTTTGATAAATAAATGGCGTAAAACCAATTTGATAACTGGAGTTAAGTTCTTCAAATATTGCACAGTCGTCTCATATAATAATATTTTCTTACTTGGACACTTAAAAAAGTTAACACTCATAACTAAAATAAAACTGAAAACAAGAGTTCGAAGATGACAGATATGTATCTCTACGTAAAAGCTAGCTTACCATTAGAATAATAATGTCAAATTTGTAAGTTCTATCCGTAAAAAAAAAAAAAAAACTAGCGATGCTCTAGCGCTTAGTATTAAACTTCCACTGTTATTAAGTTATTAATACAATGATTTTGAGCTGTTGTATCATTTATGTTTTTCCCCGCTAAATCGATATGTGATCATCTATTGCACTGGTATCGCTGATATTTCATCGGAAAAGAAAAAAAAGGAAGAAAAAAAGGTTTAGTCACTGCTAAATGACAACTATGCCCTCCGCACCTATTTTTTCTGACAATAATACTCCTCTATGTTTCTACTAACACTAACTGAAGTATTAGTATAAATAGAATTGAACTATTCGATCAAATGATTTGTACTATCAGTAGAGAGCACCGTAGTGAGACTGAAAGGATATGTTTATGGAAAAACTTTCAGTTTATCAAAAAATTTCACATGACATCTGGCAGCCCAGCAGAGATCGAGCTGCATGCATGGATTAATGAGTGGTTGGTGAACTCGATCTTTATAAAACGGAGGAACTACCGTCGGTAACTAGCAGCCTAGCCCGGACCTGTTTGAGCAATCTATAAAGTTGGCAGAAACATCACAAACCGCATAGTCAATGCCAGGAAAAAAAAAAGGTCAGATAGATGATTATCGTAGCTAATTGGAATGGGAGGTATCCGAGAGACCGGTTGCAGTTGGAGTGATATTCCGGGTATACCTGCTTTTGCAAGGATGGTGCACATGTATGAACATTCCGTGTCACGAGCAGAAAGAGCCAGTTTGCTTATCTGAAGCCGGTCCTTCAGCCAAAGGAGATTCACAGAGAGCGCCAGATTCTTCTAGTATTCGAAGGCTACTGAGCTTGTTCAGCTCAGACCGTACGTACGCCAATCTTTTCAAAGGGTGTGTTTAGTTGGAAAAAAGAAAATTTTTGGGTGTCACATCAGACGTTTGACCGAATGTCGGAAGGGTTTTTCGGACACGAATGAAAAAACTAATTTCAGAACTCGTCTGGAAACCGCGAGACGAATCTTTTGAGCCAACTTAAGCCGTCATTAGCACACGTGGGTTACTGTAGCACTTATGGCTAATCATGGCCTAATTAGGCTCAAAAGATTCGTCTCGCGATTTATAGCTAAACTGTGCAATTGGTTTTTCTTTTTGTCCACATTTAATGCTCCATGCATGTGTCCAAAGATTCGATGTGATGGGTGAAGGGGAAAAATTTTGGGAACTAAACTGGCCCAAAGAACCTGGCCGAGCGGCTAGAGTATGTAGGGGGCTCAAAAGCTCAAATGCAGGGATAGCACCACTTTTCTAAACCGCGGAATATCAAACAGCTAAGTGACTTTTTTAAGGT